CTAACGGAAATTAGAAACACTAGAAATTCAGGCTACCGATCCCTGCTTGTTACAATAGAAAATTTTTGCCTACACACAACATATAACCTCAAAAACGCAACGAATGGCGAAAAAAAAAATTCGATGAGTGAAATTAGTATCGTATTGGATTTAGTGGCGTAATGCAAGTGTTTCATACTAGATCATGAATAATTTTTGAAAAAATTTTAAAAAAATAGTTATTGTCTCATAAAACCTCTTTTGGCTTATTTTACGCCTCGAAAGCAAGATATGTCTCATACATATCGATAAGAAAGGCGCTACATTAACGAGTATATTTTGTCAATGACGTTATCAACTTCGTCGCGTCTTCCTTCTCCCTTTGGCCGCGCAAACACTTCAAAATTTGTTATCTTACATCCGTGCGGTCCAAATTACTTTGTCAGGCGTAAAATAAAATATTCCGTCCAGGTCTTGTTATACACAAGGTAATCCTTCAATGACGCAAACTGCAAATACTTTTAGCCACCATAATTGTCTAAATAAAAAAAAAACAAAATATTCAACATGTTGGCTATGAGTGGGGATGAGGAACATGACAATTTGACGGAAAAGATCTCTTCTCTTTTTCTCCTTCCGCTCTGTTGATATATAAATAACATTTCAACAACAAAAAAAAAGAAGTGAAAGATGATCCTCATTTTGTTGTTTGTTGGCCGGATCTTGAAATCCATTGACGTTGAATGAGAAACCCTGAAGAGGTTTACCTTTCGATTTCCTTCGTAGTCTCTCTCTCTCTTTCTCTCTCTCTCAACATATATATATACATAATCCTGCAGATCCACAGATGATCGTGAGAAATAACCCATGCGGGACACATGGTACGAAGAGACCAGTTTTCTTCTTCGGATACATATATATATATATATATAAATTCAATGCAGCAAAATATATAGAGAAGAAGTTTCTTTAATGCCATAGGGATGACAAATACGCGTATTTAGCAATATTTATGCGAGCGGATCACGTCGGCTTTTAGCTCGTACCTCACGGATTATCTTGTTCTTAAGAGCTACTGGCTGTGACTACCTGTCCATTCGTTTGTCGCGCGCGTTTCTTCGCGTGTCTCTCTCTTTCTCTTCAATTCCCTCCACAGGACATTAGGAGAGATTCTTCATTCAACTGAAACCAACAATTAACTTAATTCCATGGAAAAAAAAAGAAAAAAAAAACTTGTTCAATCTTGCTTTAGTTATATATTTTTGTATTTACATGCGGAGAAGGAAGTATTTATTTGTCATGAAAAAAAAATAGGTGAACCGCAAAATTCCCAAAGCAATATGGCGTCAGTAAATTTGAAAAAAAAGGATGTACATCATCATATACAATTAGAAATGTCTCGACATGAAATGTTTCTTGTTATTTCTAGCGGAAAATCCCATTAATACAACGATTTAAAAAAAAAAAATTCTTGTTGAAATTTTACTTTTTTGTTTTCGTTTAATATATATACAGAGAGAGAGAGAGAGGTTGTAGGGGACAACTTTTTCTAGATGCTGGTTTCTAGTTTGATAAATATTAGAAAATACTTTCAGTTTATTTAATAACACACTAATTAGACATTTTCTTCTTAGGTATGTGAAAAATTCAACGAATTTTCATTATATTTTTAAATTCTGTACACTTGACATGTGGAAAAATGTTAGTCGAATTTAAAATTCATTTTTTCTATTATAAATTTATTATAATGATTATGGTAAATCTTTACTAAAATTTCGAGGTTATGTTTATCTTTAATTTTCAATTTGCGTTCTAACATAATTTAAATTTTATTCGGTAGCATTTTATTTATTATTATTATTATTGTTCATAATTTTGTTTGCAGGCAACATTCATCGTGGAGCAGAAACATAACCTCAAAAATGCAATGGATGTCAAAGAAAAGGAATGAAGAAGAAATTCAATTCAACAAAAGTAGTGTAGTATTGGATTTAGTGGCTGATGAAAGCAAGTGTTTCATACTAGATAATGAATAATTGGGGGGAGGGGGAAAAGGAAAGAGGGAAACATCTCAAAATTGTAGTATTCTAATTTCCGAATTTTTAAACGGGTAACTTCCGCACCCTGCTATAGTAAAAATTTAGTGACATTCTAGTTAAAATTAAAAGTTACTATAAAGTCACTAAATTTTTACTAAAGCAGGGTGCGGTAGTTGAACAAGAATTCAAAATGGCGAATAAAAACTAGTTAGACCTTAAGACCTGCACAGATGGCGCTGCGATTATCGCAATTAATAAATTAGAAAGTTAAGAATATATGTGATGATAAAAAAAAGTAGTAGTTTATCAATGTTAACTTTCGAAATTCCACAATTGCAAAACAATTTCAATACCTACAAGTTTGGCATAGCTCTTATGATCCTATATTAAACTTTATATTGAGATTCCGCGAGTCTGACGTGTTTTGACGCAACAAACAGGAAGAGAGGTTAAGATGTTGACGTGCGCGCAAAACACTTGAAAATTGCGAGGCTTGCGGCTAACTTGGAATGTTGTTCGCTTATATATATATATAGGCTGAATTTTCAAGAGAAATAAAATAAAAACCCGACGTTGACGAAGAGCGTAGGAAGATACGATAAAAATTTCACTGGGCAAAATGGCCACAAGTATCAAATTATATCCTGGCCAACAATGTCGCACAAGGTATACAAATATATATTAAACAAATGCTCGTTAAGCAAAACACGTGGGTGTTTGAAACGTAGATATCTATGTTTCTACACATGTTTTTTGCCTTCACGATGATCCCCCTTTTTTCGAACAGGTTCACAAAAGAGGGCTAAAAAGCGATTTATATATATACTGCTGTGTGCCACAGAAGTGTGGGATACTCTTTTAACACCCTTTATTGCTTTGCCTGCTGGGCAGAACGACTTCATTCAATCCAAACTGTATGCTAATTTTAATGATTAAGATCTGGATAATTAGTATAATTAGGCATCTCATAACAGTTTTATTATGCAAATTGATACTTCTCATTATAATCCGAAGCATCGCGTTTAATCATGGAATTTTTTTTTTCTCTTTCCTTCTATATCAAATAATCTTTTCATCTAATCTTTATAAACGATTCGTCAGTTTGTTCTACTTTGATATATATATATATAGATTCTAAATTACTATTTCTTTCTATTGAACTGATGTCATTTCTCCAAATTAATATTATTTGTATAGTTATAAAGTTTTTGAAAATTATTTTACAATATCAAAAAAAAAAAATCTTAAAACGATCTTGACTTTCTTTTTCGTGTTTATACGCCACAGGACGCTTACCTTCCACATAATTTATCATTCGCCTGGAAGACACGTTGATCAAAAAGAAGAAAAAAAAAGTAAATAAATCTAATCGAGAGGTTAAAACCTGCCCCCGAACCAGTCCCCTACAGGTCCTGACTCGTCAGTGAAGGCATGCGGAGTAAATTTTTGTTTCAATGTAATATTAATAAAAGGAAAACAAAAATTATAAAGCATTTTTGTTATTGTCATAAAGGGAAAAATATGATAATCCCGTATTTTGGAAGATTTCTGTTAAATAACTTATAAGCGTAAAGGAAAACTTAAACATCAGTGATTTTTATTGATAGTTAATTATTTTTTTGTAATTACACTCTAAAAAACACTAACTTAACCTACATTTTGTTTGCAGATGAGGTCCATTTTAGCGTGGAGCATAAACATAACCTCAAAAATGCAATGGATGGAAAAAAAAGTAATGAAGAAGAAATTCGATGTGTGAAATTAGTGACGTATTGGATTTAGTGGCTAATGAAAGCAAGTGTTTCATACTAGATAATGAATAATTGGAGAAAATACATGAGGGAAGAGGGTAATATCTCAAAATGGTGGTATCAACAATTTTCCGTGAACTACCGCACCCTGTTTTAGTGAAACATTGTTTTCCATTGTCCCCACTCGCCGTTTGTCATAATTCTCCTTCAACTACCGCACCCTGCTCTAGTGAAAATTTAGTAACTTTATTGTTGAAATTAAAAGTTCCTATAAAGTTACTAAATTTTCACGAGAGCAGGGTGCGTTAGTTAACCAGAAATATGAGAAATGGCAAGTGGGGACAATGGAAACCAACCTAAATTTTAAACTAGTAATTTTATTTTCTGGGGAATTAAAAAAAATTACCAAATTAAGGTTAGTTTCCATTCCTCTCACTCACCAAAGTCCCCATTCGACATTTGTCAAATTTCTGGTTAACTACCGCACCCTGCTCTCGCATATAAATTTAGTAACATTATAATAACTTTTAATTTTAACAATAAAGTCACTAAATTTTTACTAGAGCAGGATGCGGCAGTTGATTGAAAATTATGGCAAATAGGGGTTGGTTTCCATTGTCCCCACTCGCCATTTCTCATAATTCTTGTCAATTATCGCACCCTGCGCTAGTAAAATTTTAGTGACTTTATTGTTAAAATTAAAAGTTACTATAAAGTTACTAAATTTTCACTAGATCAGGGTTGGGGTTGTCGACGAAAATTATGGAGCATTTACACCTTTGGTAAAAAAATTTTTTATTTTCCTTTTCCTAAATGCAAAGATCTGATTGGTTGTCCATTATCAATCCAGATTGTGAATAACCAATAAGATTTGTGAATTTCGGAAAATACAAAAATAAAATTTTTTTTACCAAAGGTGTAAATGCTCCATTATTATGACAAATGGCGAGTAGAGATTTTTGCAAGTGGGGACAATGTAAACCAACCATAGGAACTTTAGTTAGTAGGGACATTAATAAATTGATGAAAATCCATAAAGGTTCCTCTACAATGCAAAATTAATCATTAATTGCAAATAAAAATAGTATTCCATTACAAATTTGTTACAATGAAATAATGATTCTTTTTATTAATAATATAAAGGTATGTTTGGCAAAAAAAAAATTTAATATTAAAAATAAGTGTTGCCAGCGAAAAATATATTTAAAAAAAAAAAAAAAAAATTACTAACCTACGACTACAACGTGACCGAAAATCTGGTCGCTGACGACGTGAGAACAATTCCAGCGGTGATGCCTAAATTGATGTCGACACTCACGAAGACCGAGCTCGGCACCCTCACCAATAGCTGGCATCACGTACGGTGCCTTTTTGCACAGCTCCCGCTGATTTTTGCCCAATCCGGGAATCCGTCCACAAACTGCCGCGCCAACCATAAAAGCTCCGACCACCCTGAAACAAGAAATTTCATTATCGGCCATTTGCCAACCAATTTATATATATATATATATATATAGAAGTATATATATATGTGAGGTGGTACCTCGAGATAAAAAAAAAAGTGTTTCACCACAGGTATAGAAATTATACACAATATTATGTCCATTGGCAAGCAATTTTTTTTCTCATTATAATATAGATGCCATATATATATATATATTTTTTTTTTTCAAATAAGATCATCAAATTACAAAAAAATTCAAGTTTTACGAAATTTGTTTTTAATCAACTGAAAATTAAATATATTGTCTAATTAGGAGTTTATTTATTTAAACGTTTTTTTTTAGGTTGATAATTTAATTATAGATTTTTAAAAATATAAAGTCAAAAAATAAAACCTTTTTTTTTTTGACAGAACTAAATATTAATTTTCAAATTTTTGATTTACAACTTAAAAATATGTTGTAGACAAACTTAAAAAAAGGGTTTATCTTGATATTTTCGTTACTCTGATAAAAAAAAAGTTATTTGTAGAACTCTATATATATATATATATGCGCATATAGATTGTAGGTTCTGATTGCCAAGTTTAGACAGTTGTTTGTCATTTTTTCTCTGTTCATGAAGGGTCCCAAATGATTTAGGTTTTTTAAAGGTTCGTTTCTGCTATAAAGCCGGGATTTATGACCCGCTAATAGGTAGTTGTGGATACTGCGCGCAGGCCACTCCAGACGAGACTCTTACGCATGTTACAATTCGTTTGGCGCCACACTGATCAACATTCCGTGTATGTATATATGCATATACTATATTTAAAGTGTTAGGTCCCAAGTAAATTTGTCGAATAATGTGTACGTATTTGAAAAAAAAGGTGTTACTGGATAGTAATTTTACCACATTGTATATTTATACTGGTTTAAACCTCTTATACTGTGTATATATATATATATATATATATATATATATATATATATATATATATATAATATGTAGATATAGTTTATTTAAATTCTTCTTTTTTACATTCGCTAAGGGTATATAAAAATATTTCTCGATAATTTAGCACAGCTTTGTAAGTTTCTTCGATACATCGAAATATCCATGTGACGAGATATTTATCGATTTCTCAAGAAATCGAAGTAGTGTAATCGATACTTTGCGATATCTCGATAAATTGATTATTATTATGATAAATCGATTAATACTTTGATATCTCGATATATCGATTATAAGAATTCAATTAATCTCTCGATATCTCGATTACTATTTTGACAAATCGATTAATACTTCGATATCTCGATAAATCGATTATTATATCGACAAATCGATCATTACCTCGATTAATACTTCGATAAATTGATTATTACCTCGATTAATACTTCGATATTTCGATAAATCGATAATTATATCGACAAATCGATTACTATTTCGATAATTCGATTAATAATGGAATAAATCAATTATATATTTAAATCATAAAATTTTGAAAATAATTTTTTATATAAAGAATAAATTGATCTTTTATGTAATAAATTTTTTTTATCTTGTTAATGCCCAGTGTTTTTGTTAATTGAAAGTTATGTTAAATTTCAATTGCGCAAAGGGAGTTGGTAATTGGGAAATATTTTCTTCAATTTTCGTATGTATATATATATATATATATATATATATATATATATGTGTGTGTGTGTATGTGTGTAAAGAAGCGAGGTGTTATCGCTCTCGAGGCTAATTAGCACTAATTGAACCGGGATATAGCTGGTATTAAATGAACCTTTAACGTCATGTCGCGTACTTACATCTTATCTTCCTTGTCATGGAGGACGACCTATTCGCCTCGACATACAAATTACTCACGTCCCTAAGGCGACGAGCTTCAGTCAAGGTAGATTTATAGGCTTACCAATCAGTGCCATATATATATATATATATATATATATATATATATATATATATATATATATATATATATATATATATATATATATAAATAATTCTCAGTCATTCAATTAGTGTTATCACTATATGTCCACATTAGATTTCAATTCAATATGGGTACGTGATGAGTTTTTTTTATTTTTGATTTTATTTTAGCATATATTCTCTATATTAGTTTAAGCATTCACGCATATAATTTAAACAAAATTAAATAATATATAATCTATCAATGTCTGACATAACCTAAAAGACATTTTCTTCTTTTAGCCAAACTTTTATCATTATCTTCAACTTTGCACTTTATAAATTAGAATTTAGTCTAGATCTGTTTTTCAATCTCAATAACGCTAATCTACCTCCACAGCACCGAAACTTTCCTAAATATTTATTTGAAATATATATATGTTCGGAATATTTAATTGCAATGTTTATTAGTGAAAATTGTGTAAAGATTTAAATGTCCCACTTGAATAAATTTTTAGCGCGAAACTTTCCTGAACATTTATTTAATAAAGACATTTAAATCTTTACACAATTTTCACTAATAAACATTGCAATTAAATATTCTGAACATTTCATAAATAAATCTTTAGGAAAGTTTTGGTGCTTTGAGGGATATCTATATGTTTTGAGGTTATGTTCCCTTTGTTCTTAAAAAAAAAAATAACCTTAATTTATATTCATTAAAATATCTCAATTTTAATTTAAATTTTGAGGTTATGTTCCCTTGCCATTAAGAAAATAATCTTAAGGCACTCTCACACCTTATTGGCTGTCTGCAGGTTACCATGGCAACGCATGAGAGTGAGTGCGACGGAAAATTTAAGAATTTGAATATTCAAATTTTCTGTCTCACTCACACTCGTACGTTGCCATGGTAACCTGCAGACAGGCAGGTAGGCAAAAAGCTGTGAGAGTGCCTTTAATTTAACCCTTAAAATATCCTATTTTCATTTAAATTTTAAGGTTATTTTCCCATTACCTTGACATAAATATAACCTCAATTTAAGCTTTAAAAAAATATCTCTATAGGTTAAAATTTAAATATTCAGCTTATGTGAAATATAAAAATCAAAAAAAAAAATTTTAGCGAAAAAATATTTTATTGTGCAAAATTTAAAAAAAATTGTAAGATGTGTTTTTTACACGTATATATATATATATATATATACATATACATATATATAAATATATATGTTTATATATCGGTGTGTAAGAAAAAGTGGCTGGTTATACAAAAGGCGTGAAAAACATATACATGTATATATATAAGTTGAACTCCCTTTAATTATAGCTCCGCAATGACGCCACTCGTTATTCTAATTAGACACGCTTAGCTAAACCATTACGGCGCCCGGAGCACATCGCACTCAAGGAGGTCGCGTCTCCCTCGATAGTGCAATTATTCGTTTGTTTTGTACGTGTACGTATATATATACTAGTCGAGTAATTGCGCGAATTCCAATGCAACCTGATTGGTGCATACAAAATTGCGTGGGTGTTACATACATGTTTACATGTATATATATATATATATATATATATATATATATAGTGAAATTTTCTAGAAATTTCTATTTTCCTTAAAAAGGCAAAAAAAATGTTAAAATAGATAAACAAATAAAAGTTTAGAAAACGAATATGCAAAACAACTTTTGGAACCGGAATTTAATATTATTATTATTATTATAATTATTATTATTATTTTCAACTATTATAAATATTATTATAAAATTATATACCTATAGAAAATTAATAACTTTATATAATTTCTAAAATAAAATTGAATTATAATTTATATTACCAATAACTAATGTTATACAGATAACTGATAATTTTCTATACGAAGGAGACAACAAAAGTGACAACTCATCTTTTTGTAAAAGAATAAAATAAAGCGCCATAAATTACAAAAAGGACAAAAACACAAACTTAATCTAAATTTTTTTTTGCAGCTACTGCTGAGGCTCATTTCACCGTAGAGCATAAACATAACCTCAAAAATGCAATGGCGAAAAAACCACACCTATACAATGAAGAAGAAATTCAAAATGAGTGAAATTAGTCTCGTATATTGGATTTAGTGGCTGATGAAAGCAAGTGTTTCATACTAGATAATGAATATAATTGGGGGGAAAAAAAGAAAGAGGGAAACATCTCAAAAATGGTGTTATTTATAAATATTAAATTAAACTCCAAATTTTTAATGGGGGTAACTTTTTACCAATTTTTTTTTTAAATATCCCGTGTAGAAATTTTACCAGGGCCCAGATCGGGGTCGGATCAGACTGCCCTATTATTAGGGAATCCACATTTTCTAATCGTCTTGATTTGACCCTGATCAGGTACAGCGTTTCATTCCCTACTAGGGCCCTGATAAGGCAATTTCTATACACGGAATAAGGAGCAATGGCTAAATTATCAAATTTCTAAATTTCTTCTGGTTTCCATTGTCCCTATACTCACTATATTTGTCTTAATTTTCGTCAACTACCGCACCCTGCCTTAGTGAATATTTAGTGAATTTATTGTTAAAATTAAAAGTTACCATAAAGTTACTAAATATTTACTATATAGAGTAGGGTGAGGTAGTTGACAAGAATTATGACAAATGACGAGTATAGGGATTTTGTCGAGTGGGACCAATGGAAACCAACAGAAAATCTAGTAACATTCAAAGTAACTATCACTAAAATTTTCACTAATTCAGGGTGTGGTAGTTGATGAAAATTATGACAAATGATCACATTTGTCACTTTATACGTAGTAAAAATTTTGATTAAATTTTTATAAACGATATCATAATCATTGAGGTTAACGTGAATTATTGCAATATTCATTTTTTATTTTTTTAAAAAAACTAGTTGTTAGTTATACCTATATATGTGTGTAATTATATATAGGGATTTTGCGCTCTCTAATGTTATGGACATTAATAAAAGTCTAATGGATATTGTTATTTCTTCCGACTGGTGTATCTTCTGTTTCTTTTTTTCTTTGTTTGTTTCTCATTTCTAAACACTTCTCTCTTTTCATCTTTATCCTTCTCTTCACGCAAATGGATACCATAATAT